ACTAAGCACATTTACTCGAGTACTGCACTTAAGTAGCAATTTGAGGTACTGGTACTTTACTTGAGTATTCTCATTTCAATGCACATCTACTCTACTACAATTCAGAGCGAAATACTATAGTTTTTACTCCACTACATTTGAGAGATACAATCACTTTACTACACAAAGTGTATAAGATTAGCTCCACCTCGACCAAATACATAAATGTGAATTACACGTTAATGCAATAATAATCTGGAGATACAATAGTATAACACTCACACAGGCAATTGTTCTGTTGTATACATTTTGCTACTTTTATTAGTAATAGCTATATGTATATAGCTCAAAATCACAAATTTGCCTCAGAGGATTCGCAGTCATAATACCATACTGTGTTTTTAGACCCTTGATTCGAAAAATCAATGTTCTTAAAAAGGTTGAGAAACCTCAGAAGGAGCAACAGAGGAAGGATTTCTCTTCCAGGATAAACATGCATCCAATAGATGTATATAAAGAACAGTCTGTTCTACTGCCTTGACACTATATGTGTCAAGCCATGTGGACTTGAAGAGATATTTTCCACCTTTAGGAACAGCGGTTCATCCTGCATCCACCTCAGACCTCATCAAGTCTCAATCCCAAAGACAATTAGGACAATCCAATAAGCTTTACTGTAATGCGACCTTAAGGCAAGCCCTGCAGCTCTCGTTGTGTGTCCATATTGTCACGGCTCAGTTCAGCTAAATAAACAGTATATCCTGAAACTGGACGCAACAGAGACAGAATAAATTTATAAATTAAGCTAAGATTTAGCAAGGGGAAATGGGAGCTTGTGCTGTATCTGTGTGGAGCAGAGATGAAGTTTCAGGGATATTCTAGGCAGACACCAATAATTTTCCCCCAGCTGTTACGAGGTAACCACAGAGCTTTATATAAATCAAGGGACTGTCGTACAATTTACGCAGTGACAGTTGAATAGAACGCTTAAGGAATCCCTGTGAACATCCACACCAAACTACAGGGATCCGATTACTAAAACTAGTATTCTCTCACTTCCAACTAAGGCTGTTACCCGAGTGAGCCATGCCAGTTGGTGTGCCCTTGAGTGAGACAGCGCCCCACTAAGCACATGTCGATCTGGGGATTACATTCAGGGGTTTAGGAGGGGAAAGGAGGCCGTAATCTGAAACTGTTGTGTCTTGTTGCTGTGCACTTTTCTTAATGCCATGCTATCATGAAGCATGCGTTGGTATTGAATGACTGTTGCCCGAGGAAGTTCAATTGGGGAAACTATTTTTGTCTCCCCAGATGAGTGCTGCCCCTTGTTTTACTCCTTGATAATTTCACTTGAGTTTTTCTTTTTAAGCTCCACAAAAGATGGTAGAGGTTTCAGTTTAGCCGGCTGTTAGAGTTGCTAACATGTCAACATTAATGAAAGGGACGTGAGGAATTGTTTACCATTTTGGGAAATACTTTATTGGCTTTCTAAATGAGCAAACTGATACCACTCTCATGTTTGTATGATAAATATGAAGCTACATCAAACAGCAGGTTAGCTTAGCTTAGCACAAAGACTGGAAACAGAGGGAAACAGCTAGCCTGGCTCTGTCCAAAAAAAACAAAGTCCTCCTATCACCTATCTCACTAATTGACATGTTATATCTCGTTTGTTTCGATGGTCCCGAGCTGTTTTTGTTTAGTACAGATGTGAGAATAACATAAATCTTCTCTTCTCTGATCAATAAGAGGATAATAAGAAGATTATTTGAAGGATACTTGTGATTTATTACAACTGGGCTCTTATTTTCATAGCTTTGACTATAATAATAAGATTGTACTATTTTTGCTGAGATCTGAGTACACAGTAACATCTCAAAAAGTCAGAAGAGCACATTGAGTTGTTCTCCTTCCAGGCTCCTCTGTGCCTAATAGCAATTGACACTACTTTAGACCAAAGAAAAAATGTTTGCAGTGTGTGCTGTGGACATGATGTTGTTGAAGTTTTAAAATGTAGTTTTTTTTTAATGCTGTAAGTGACCACCCAAAATGAACGTCCATTTTTATTGGAATCAAAAAGACAGATGTGAGATATGTCTTAAAACCTAGGCAAATAAATCTGCATGGCTAGGTTTGTGAAAATTAGGGTAAATTGACCCTTTAATCAGTATTCTCTATGGTATTTGTTTGTGAAGTTCACTCTCACCTAACCAATTTCAAGATATTGTTGTTAAACTATAAATGGCAGCCCTGGTTTGGTCATGTCAGGGTTCAATAAACAAATATTGTTGATTGGCTCCATGTTTAAGATAAATAACGCTCCGCTTAACACAATATTGACACATTATTCTTCAAGCAGGTCAAACGCTCTGCTCTTAGAATAGATATTGATATGTTTGCAATGTGTTGTGTTTCACTGTGATTATCTTCCATGCCAGCATGAAAATAGCTGGGACTTATCCGGGTATTACCATGCCATTATATAGCACTAATTAAAAAATAAAGCATTTCTACTCTTAGCCCAGCTGCTATTAGACCCTGTTTAGCCTACAGGTTTGCTTTGAAACTCTCTCTCATTACAGCGCCTCAAGGAAATATCATACAATAGCGAGTTGAAAAGGGCAATGCTTGAATGGAGTCTTAAAGGAGAGGCTGTACTTGGCCTTCAAGTATACATTCCTTCAGCTCAGTGCTTCCTCTGTGGTCCCGCTCCCCTGACCCACCCCCCTCCCACTCAAGACTCAGTTCCCACAGGGGACTTGGCCAAAGCAAACTCCTCAGAGGAAGTCTCCCTCTCACCCGCGAGAGAGAGAGAGAGGGGGATGTCCTATCATCTGGCTCAATGGGACCTGCTAGGCAGTAGGATGTGCAAGGAGGGTGTTATGACTCCCTGGTCATGCTATGTCTATGATGTGGTGGTGAGTTAAGCCCATGCGGCTGCTCTCCTGTGAGGTCAGTGTCAGATTTAGCCACCAGGTCCCTTGTGGTGTCTGGGAGTGTCTGTTTTCTGACTCTATTATGTCTAGCACTCATAGCCTTCCTGGAGCTGTAAACCTCAGGGTAGAAATAGTACCAGACAGGCAGACATCCTTTGTCGGGAAAACAACAGTCACGTCAGTAATTACAGAGTCTGATTGCAGCAGGGCAGCAGTTCTTAGAAATCCACCAGCCTTGAGTCAGCCAGGTGAGGGGTCGAGTCACCATTGCCGAGCAGGACGCAGTCAGCCGGAGCTCTGGGTTAAAAGAATTAACCTACAGTAGCAAACCAAACACTGAGCGTGTGTTTGTGAATGGGTGTGTGTGTGTGTGTGTAATGTGTGTGTGTGTAATGTGGTTACTGGTTAGACAGGTAGAGACAAGTAAAAAACAAACAGTATGAAGATGCAGAGTATAGATTAGATTAGATTACATAAAAAATGTGTATTTTACTTACAAATTCATTGGTAACACTTTAAAGCATTTAATAGCAGTACATAATCATTTTAATAACGTAGAAGATAATGTAGTTGTTAACAGATATAAACCTACCTTCTACCTGTATACAGAAATTTTTAGTGTTTATTAATGAACAGTATTTGTCAGCACATATAGCATATTTTTTGTATATTATTACGACCGTGTTTTATCATTTATTATCCGTTTATACAGCAGAGTCCACTTTTGAAAACTCATTTGGTATCAGTAGTTCAGGTCTACAGTGTGAGACTTGACTAACACCTCCACCCTTGAGCACACTGTACCAGACACACACACACACACACACACACACGCCCTCCCACACTCACACATATGCACGTCTACACCCACACCCACACTCCCCACGTGCCCCGACACCCACTCATATCTGCTTGTGCGCGCACACACACACGCAGCGTCTGGCTTTGTGTAGAAAAGCTGTGAGATGTGATTCATTGCCAACCATTTCTCACTTAATGCTAAATGAGGTTTGTCATTAATTTCCATCTTGAAGTGATTAGAGCGAGCAGCGATTAAGGTTTCACAACTACAACCCCGCAGGAGTGTTTTCCATTGAGGATTTTGAAGGTAGACAGAGTAATCATTCGTCTTGAATTGCACACGCAGAAGAGGAGATGGGAGTGTTTGCCATTCCTGGAGGCAGAATATCACAGCGGTGAGTAAGAGAGTAACAGGCATGTCTGTGCTGGCCTCTGCCCTGGCCCAGGTAAACATATCCTCTGTCTGACAAGTGCAGACCTGAGGGCTGAGGAGGTTAGCTATCTCAACACATGTTCCTGCAGCTTGCCACACACACATACATACTATATATACAATCAGGGGCTCTGTAGATTCAGTATGTTATGTCTCTTAACAAGGCAGATGCTTCCCGCCCCAGGTTTTTTATGCACAGCTTTCCCCAAACATTTCATGACTCTGAGGCCCTGCGTTATCATGCAACCCTCTCTGACACTCTCACTCTAACTCTCTCTAACACTTCAACTCAATCCTCTGTCAGATCCTAGTGCAATTACTTTAACTCATCTCCCTCTCTGTCTCTCTCTGTCTCCATATTGCAATATTTCTGTGGTTCGGGGAGTCGATCTGCTCCACCTGATGGCGCCTCTTCTGCTTGGCAGGGAGCAATGTAGCCCTTCTGGCTGCCAGCCAGACCAGCTTGAGTGTCTGCTCAGCTCAAAGCCCTGCTCACACACACACACACACACACACACAAACATGCAGACATGCCAAGCTCAGAGACTGAACGCTTACACAGACGCATCTTCTATCCTCCTTGTCTCTCTATGACTTCTTTTCTGTTCGTCTAATTTTCTTTCTTTCTGTGACTCTCTGCTCTTTTACTGTAAGAGTGAATTGTAAAAAGTCACATCATGTTCTGACAAATCTGTGTCTTTCTTATGAATAATGCCATTTACAGTCATACAGTAGCATTTTTAGAGGATGTGGGCTCTTGAAATATCCACTGTGCTCCATGATGTAATATCTGCTCTTTATCTCTGCAAGGATCACAATGATTTACCGTCTATTCTCTCTTCTCTCTTCAGTCTCCAAGCCCTGTCCAAGCCAAAAGGTCCAAATTCGACAAATTACAATCTCCATCAGCTGACAAAGACAAGAAACCTGACTGGTTACAATCTTTGTCAAAGTCTGCACACAAGGTTTGTACACTTGTTGCTAGTGTGAAACCGGATTTGCCATTAAGCTCAAAGGTCAAAAGGGTGACATAAAAGCCACTTTTCTTTTGAATCATCACATTATCATCTATGTACGACCTCTAGTCATTTAGCTTTGTTAAATGAAAAGGGGTCCTTTGAGTATCTTTCCCACGGCTAATTTAATGTTCTGGTCGTCATTTCTGTGAGTTTATCCAAGCTTGTTGTTTTGTTCGTTCTTCCAGGATCTGAAACAGGTCCAACTGAAACAGAGGCCCTCTGCTTTCCGCCCGTGGTCTCCTAAAGCAGCAGAAAAAGAAAAACCAGCTACTCAGAATGAGGTGGAGAGGTGAGTCATCTGAGGAAAGCTGCAATAGTTTCAGTTTTAAATATATCATATTTGTTAAATCAACCAATGAAATGCTTTAAATGGACCTGTATTGCCACCACAGGTCCTACTCAAATAGTCATGAGACTTTGGTGGCTCCCAATCTGACACCAGCTCCCCTGGCCCCTCCTGTCCATCCCAGGGACAGCCACGCTCCTGGCAGGGGGGTCCCAGCCATTTCCAGGCCGCCGTATGATCTGCATAATGGAGACGCACAACCTGCAGCAAAATCGGCCCCCTCCAGTACCACCAACCGACCCGACGACATGGACACAGATGGCGAGATTGATGTGGATGACTGTGATGATGGTGAGTACCACCCATCACCTGAGAGTTTGGAATAATCCAGAGAAAACAATTGAACACTACAAGTGTCAGTTTTTACAGCTACAACTTGAATTACATATTAAGCCCAACTGGAAATAACCCTCAGCAGAACCGGTTCAGGGTGATTGCTGTGCAACTCTGCCACCTGGTGTTTAATGGAAGAAATAGAAGAGATAAAAGTTGTTTTATTTTTTGCTGTCATGTAGCCACAACAAAAATTGCATTTCTTCTGTTTAATTATATTTTTGCAATGATTTGCAACAGGCGCTGTAGAAAGGAAGTTTTATATTTGGTTTCATGCTACATTTATCTTGCTGATGCACACGGCTAAGAAAAATATATGTACTTCTGCAGTTGCCAGAGGGTATGTGGAAAGACTGTGGACCACTTAAAAAAAATTAAGTGTTTGAAAAGTAGTTCGCAAGTGAACAGAGGTTGAAACGGTTAGCTAAAAGATAAGAATGAAGGGTTAAAATTTAGTAGATAGCTAAAAGTAATAGATAAACAGCTGAAACATCAAGATTCTGCCACCAAATGTAGAATGCAAACATAAAAACTGACCTTTACAGTGAGGGTTAAAATTGTATGAAAAATTGGTCCACGTAAGACTGGGCAATTTGGCGAGTTTAGATCGGGATTGTGATCTAAGGCGTCACAATCTACTTTTCAGGCAAATCGTAGGGATCACAGTATTTAATGTCCTCTTACTTCTGTTTCCAAATTTCACAAAACCTCATAGACTAGCGGATTCGCGCTACATGAACAAACCAATAGAGTGACCTAGCCAACTACATGTCTGTGCTGATTGGACGAACTTACTTCACGTGACTCTTCCTTGGGTGACGAATTGTAAACAATGCAATTGAGTTGTGAGTACTTGAAAAGTGTTATTTTATGATTCTTCTGTTTACAACTCCAAGTGAAACTCAGGTTTTAATCACCATTTTGAAACCTGTATAGCAGTGTTGTGTTTTAATGGGGCAAATTGAGAAATTTCAAGTCTCACTATAGCCACAGGACATTTCAAAATTTAGAAAATTTTGCAATTAAACAGATTGTGATATTATTTTTTGGACAGATCGCCCACCCCTAGTTCCAGTTGAATATAACTGATAGTGTTAGATATCAATTAACAGTGCTAACAGCTTTGTCACATTAACAACATTCTTTGAGACACAGTAACCTTATTCTTGCAACCACTGTCTTAATAATGTCAAAACTCTCTATCCCTCAGGTCCAGCGCCACCTTCCTCCCTGGCTTCTCCTCCGTCAGCCTGCGCCAGTGTTTCTCAGACTCTGACCCCGCAGAGTGTTGCTCGACCTCAGGAGGGACCTGCCTGGCTGTCAGGGACAGTTTGCCCAGAGATGGAAACCCTGAGACAGATGCTGTGTGGAGGCACAGACACCAAAGAGGCCCGGGAAAAAGTCCTGCAGGAGATTGTGAGGATAAGAGTGAAGCAGGAGGAGAAGCTGGCAGCTGCTGTGCAAGCTAAACGCAGCCTTCAGCAGGTATCACATCCAGTTCTTGTGAAATATGTGTGATAAGAAGGAATGAAAGTAATCTCCAAATGAATATTAGAGTTTTAAACATGAAATGATTGTGATGTGTTTTTACAGGAATTGGAGTTTGTGAGGGTGGCAAAGAAAGGCCGTCTTCGTGAGGCCATTGAAGCCAAGCGCAACCTGCGAAAGGAGATTGAACGCCTTCGCGTGGATTGGGAGAGGAAGATGAGGGACGCGGAGGAGTCTTGTGGGCGGCTGAAGAGGGAGTTGGAGAGGGAGAGACAGCTGCGAGTTTGTGACAAAGGTTGTGAGGCTGAACGTCTCCGTGTCAAATATTCCAGTCAGGTAAGATGTCTGCGAGATGCCCATAATCACCAAAAACACCAGTATGTGGTTTGTTTATTTTTGATCCTCATTTAAACTGACCTCTGTCTATGTTTCGCAGATTGAAGAGTTGCATGTGCAGCTACAGCAGGCAGAAGCTGATCGTGAGCAGCTGAGACAGGAGCTTCAGCAGGAGAGAGAAGCTCGGCAGACCCTGGAGACTATTGTTAAAGATCTGCAAACCCAGCTGGCCCTGCAGGCCGACAGCAGCCATCCTGGAGACGCAGACGCACACAGACAGACCACACAGCACACCGATGGATCCTAAAGTTGCACATTCAGAAGAAGAGAAAAAAAGACAATAAAAAGGAGCATTGTTAAGGACTTTGTTGCACCTCCTATTAGGAAAAATAAACTCAACAAATTGCAAAGTCAGTTTTGTAGAGGAAAAATCTGTCATATATAATATGATGTGATCTAAAATCAATATTATTATGACAATATATGAATTTTATGAAATGAACTGGAAAGTAGCATGATGTCTGAGCATGTTGTAGAGTGTGAAAATTAAGAAAGATTTCTTCAGTGATGATCACATCTCTCCATTGACGTCAGAGCCCTCAGTTAGACATCTGACGCTGTCCAAGGATTTTATTTTGGTATAAGCTATTCTAAGATGTGCAAATATAGCCACATAACACTACTTGAATATGAAGGGAAGAAACATGTTGCACCTGGTGAAACATGAGCAGATGATGAAACTCTTGGTGCCACAAAATATTGGTACACTCAAAGGTGTCATTGCAGACCACTGGAAACAAGAGACACCAGTTTACCACTATTTACTTTTAATATCAGCTTGCTTTTTATAACTGTGTAGAGGATGTACTTTTTAAGAAATATTGCTTGCGCAGCACTGTTATTCCACAGGCAAGAAAAAACATCCATATACAAACATGTACGCATGTATACCAGCTTGTCTACCTTTTGTATTTTATAAACCTAAAGTATTGGATGATACGTGGGCTGCCTTCAGATCCACCACTGTTTTATGCTTAGATATTTTATGGAAGTGTTACTTTTTAATATTATGATGCAACTTTATGTGTTGTTTGAAAAATGTTTCCAATAATGTTTTTGCAACCAAATCATGTGATAAATAGCAAATATTCTTGCCCACATTAGCGCAGATAAGTCTACAAATGCCCTCTTAAAAGAAAAAAAAACTTCGATAGCTGTCTGTTTTTGTTGAAATGCGGTACTTCTGGTTTTCTATTGAGTATTGTAAAATAATTTATATTCTATAATAATTTGCTGATTTTCAAAAGAAAGCATTCATTTTAAGTCACTGGTTTTAGGGCTCTTAAATCAATAAATGCTGTTTATATGAACAACATTTCTACATATATACAAAATATGGATATATATTTTTTTACTTTAAGAAAAGGAATTGCACTTTTTAAAGAAAAGAACCTTGCATTGTGCATTGTACTCCCTGTTACATTTTTCAAAAGACAAGTTAACATGAACTTTAAATTTAAACACACTTTCTCTGAGTATCCTCTGTTGTAAATACAATGATATTGTAAATAAGATATTTGTTGGTATGTTTGCTTGCTCCAGACTTAAATTGATTATGAATATTATTTTTTGCTCTTACTTGAAACCAAAAAAGAGACTATATTTGGATTTGTAAAACTGCAATTTCATTATTGTTGTATCCCTGAGTGTCATTGCAATCACAGGGCATTTAGCAGAATGGATGGACTTATTTGTTTAAACAAGGAGAATGAAACCATGAATGGTTGTGAATTCGACCTGTCAATAGTTTTTCTAGGTATGACACACCAACAGAATGTTATAATTTCTCCCTTTGTTTTGTTTATTTGAGAAGGTCTTTATTATTTGATGAATTATAGAGTATATATTGCACCCCTGACCAAAAACTGAAAAATGGATTTGAAATCCCTGCACCTCCAGCTCCCTCACTAGATAGAGTAGAAGCGACCCGTTCTCATGGTTTCAACCTTAGGTGCTCAAAAAACACTTTTATGTCTTATCATTATGATACCCTCGCTCAGTATTTGTTGGGTACAGTGTAATAGCAATATCCATTTTGTTAGCTGATGCTGTTGTAGTTTTGGTTTGGAAGTGGGGGTTCACTTGCCTCTTGTTTCAATGTTTTCTTTTCCTTCGGAAAACTTGTATAATACCTATTAAAATCTAAATGAACCCTATGGCTTCTTTTTTTTTTTTTTTACCACAATGGAAACAGTATTTGTGTGTGTTCATTTTTTTTAATTTGTATTTCTTAGGATTGGGTACCACTTTAGTCTAGACAAAAATATCTCAACCACAATTGGATGGATTGCCATCAAATTTGGTGCAGACATTTATTGTTCTCTGACATGTATCCTAGCAGGTGAACACATAAATTTTAATCTAGCCCCACCATCAGGTCAAACTTTTTAATTTGTCAAATACTTCGGTTTATGACCAAATACCTGCAAAACTATACATATTCCCTGTCAGCCTCAGGTGTTGGCTACAAATGTTAGCATGCTAACATGCTAAACTAAGATGATTAACACATTACACTGCATCAGCATGTTAGAATTGCCATTGGGAGACATTAGCTGACATTAGCATTTAGCAGAAGGCATTGCTGTGTGTACAGCCTCACAGAGTCTGCAAGGGTACTATTGTAATTGGAAAAGTACAAAAGGTAATATAGCCTATTGGTATTAGAAACAGTTTATTAAAATAGCATATAAATAATTTTTGAAAAAAGGCCTTCTGAATTATTTCATGGGGGATATAATGTAAGAGTACAGCTACTCCAAAAACAACGGACACATACAGGGAACAACCTTTTATATACAGTCAATGGGAACAACAGCCAGCTATAGCAAAATAGCCCTTTTTCACAGCAGACATTCTGATTAGTGAGTGTAGAAAAAGAGTGTCTGTCACTGAGCCATCACAGTGTGACAGTCAGCCAGCACGCCCAATGCCAGGACCCTGAAACTGCAGCAGCTAAATTGATAATTATTAACTTTAGTATACACATGTGCTTTTCAGACTCTAAGATGTTGTAACGCTTTCTGTGAAAAGGGCCTATCTTTCAATGATGTCAACAATTGACATCATCGGCCTAATTGATGGAACTGAGCAATCAGCGGTTCAGTAATACCACTACAATTTCCTGATGATGGTTTTATAAGCCTCACAGAGGTGGTTTCACTGATTGAATCTCTACTCATGCAGGTTGAAATTAGATTAGATGGAGCTTTGCCGGGAATTGTCTAAAATCCCCAGGCTGATATAAGCTGTTGTCCCACCCTAACAGGTGCAACAAAACCTACAGAAGAGTAAGGATGTCTTCTCTGTGCAGGAAAAAATAAGGCAAAATGAAATCACCTGAGGTTTTACCATGATTATGTAAGCTTAAGCTGTCTATTTTAGAGAAAATATAATCTTATGTAATTAATTTATCAGTGGATCGCTTTGTGTATTGTAACATGATATGCATACATACATGCATTGTATGTCACACAGTTGCCTCTAGGGGGAAATAATTGCTCACAGTTCAAGTGGATACTAGGCTGTTCGTAGCCAAATAAACCTTTTTGACTTTAACCTTAAATCATGATACTGTCTATCCTTAAATAATTTTAAATCTACTAGATTTTCTATGTTCTTTAATTATTTGATATGTCATCTAGTTAAATTTATATTTACACCCTTCCTATCCCAGTCTCTTTCTTCAGAGGCTTACTGGTTGCCTGAAAATCCCTCCATGAAAGCAAGGCTGAAGCCTCACTCCGGGATTACAGCTTGAGGAAGATTTAGTTACTGACACATGTTGCATACTCTCTCTTCATGGCTCTCTTTCTCTTCACGCCTTCTCTCAGAGCAAACAAAATAAATGCTGAGGAACCCATGGCTGCTACATTGGATCATTGGACACAACATGATGAGGAATGAACCTTCAGAATGGGAAAATTGTTCCATGATTCAATGTGGGACAACTTTAACTGGACGATGAGGACATGCTGACACTTTAAAATCTGCATGAGAGAAGCTGTGCTATGAACAAACTTGGCTGAAGAGTCCAGCAGAGTGAGAGGGTAAGTGGGTTCAGATGGTGTGAATGGGACAGGAGAGTTGAACTCACATGTACAGTTCAGGTATGAACAGTGCTCCAGCGATGGCGCCTCTTTCTCCAGAGCTTAGTGGCAGCCCACTGCCGTCCTCTCTGTCACCCAAGAAGACCACCTTTCAGTCTGTAGGATCTCTGTCAGCAGGAATGTTCTCCCCCTCACTTGGTAAGGGCTCCTCTCATCAGGCAAAACAGGCCTTGAATCCCTTGAATTCGTCTAACCCGTCTATTATGAGCTCCCCAAAACTCTGGCAGAAAGCATCCATCTCCAGACTTGCAGAGGAGTTTTTCTGGATTGGAGGCAGTATGGTGGCACAGCCGAAATGGAGGCTAGGTCAGATGGGTAAGATTCACTAATGATTCATGAAATAATATTGCTTCAAATACTCACTGCAGGATGTCAACAGGTTGTTTATCAGAAGTGCTTACAAGCTGCTGCACACTAAAGAGGGGATTTTAAAATATTTTATGACATTAATTTTATATTTTAAAAAACAAGATATGTGAATTTGAAACTTTAACCATGATATTAACCTGCATTTGGCCTCTAAAACGTGTGAATTTCCCATAAAACAGAATGGAGTTGCAGGGAAGCCTGTGAGTAGATAATGGGCATATGGACAGTAGACAATCCTTTAGGATTAGCCGGAATGATGTTCCAGGTTGCGTCACATGTATCTGAGCTTCAGATTACAAACAAAGGTTACCTGCTCTCAGCACACAAAACAATCACACCACCTCACCATCACCTGAATGTTAAAAGAAAAAAGTTGTGATCTGACCTGCTATTTTAGTACAAGCACTATTCACACACCATTCAAAAGTTGCACGAAACATCAGAATAGAAAAGTCAGGAGAAATAATTTGAATCAGAGGCAACTGATAATTGAGGGATTTGTTTGTTAGACAAAGATCATTTCCGTGTTGTGCATCTTTGCCTCTTATCATTAACACACAGCGACTTAAATCACTGTGTGACGCAGCGTATAATCTCATTGATAGATAGACAGATAGGTACTTTATTCATCCCTGAAGGGAAATTGCAGTGTTGCAGTGTTACAGTAGCAACAAAAAATAAAATTTAATTAAAGTACAGTTCCAAACTTATACAACTTACACACAACAAGCATGAGGTAGATAATAAACAAGTGCTTAATAGTAAACATCTACCTCTACTGCTTCGGGGATTCCTTTGGGGTTGTTATAATGTCTTCCTGCATACAATCACAACACATTTATTACAAATTGTTGCAGCAAAATTTGAAACGATTATAATAATAATAATAATAATAATAAGGAATTTTTGACAAATGGATTGGGGAAACAAGCTTAGGCACCAACACGCTGCATTGCAAAGAATCACATGAACTAGGGTTAAATTTCCCATAAATAGCAAGCTTTCATTATAGTAAAACACATCACTGAATACACTGAATAATTGATTTTCACAAGCACCCTCTTACATTGGCAGTAAATAAATGACAATGTGATGATCCCTGTGACTAGTAGAGATGGGCAGCCACTTCACTCTTGATAAATAACGTGTCTCCTTGTGCATTCCTGTAGTGGAGAGGTGTATGTGTACCATGCAGGCTGGCACTCAGATGATCAAACTGAAGGGGAAGAAGAAAGGACTGGTCCGATTCTTTTACCTGGACGAGCACAAGTCCTGCATCCGGTGGCGGCCCTCCAGGAAGCATGATAAGGCCAAAAGTGAGCCATCACCACTGTGAATTTATTTTTGCACATGGCAAAAGCCAATCACCATCACCAATAAGAAATAGGTTTAACTTCCTTTCCTTCCCTCAATGAGGCTATTGTTTAAGTGACACACATAAGAGATGAAAAAAAAGAAGAAGAAAGAAGTAGTAACATGTAGCCTAATCATAGACAATCTGGTATAAACAAAGTAGTTCAACAAAAACAGAGTCTTACTGAAAGTTACTGGAACCACTGACCAAACACACTTCATTCAAAATGATGGATAGCTGTGGCGGTCATCAGTACATTTAATGTTCATCTGTTTCAGTAACTATCGATTCCATACATGAAGTTTGCGAGGGGAAAAAGTCAGAGATCTTCAGGCGATACGCAGACAACCGCTTCGACCCAAACTGCTGCTTCAGTATTTACTATGGGGACCGCGTGAAGTCCCTGGACCTGGTCGCCACCAATGCAGAGGAGGCCCGCACCTGGGTCACTGGTCTGAAATACCTCATGGCGGGTATCAGTGATGAAGACAGCTTGGCCCGGAGGCAACGGACCCGTGATCAATATCCTTTATCCAGCCTCTCATACACATGTTTAATCTCTAAATTACTAATTATTACAAATGCATCACTACATATATAAAGTGGGCGTTAACACATCCATTTGTACAACAGCCTACATTTAGAATAATCTGACAGAACAACACACATTAATTGACTTGAACGTGGTCGTTGTAGTTCCCTCCTTAACTGTATCCTCACGTGGTTACAACAGACTTTCTCTGAGGCTGACAAAAATGGAGATGGAACCTTGAGCATTGGAGAGGTTCACCAGCTGCTCCACAAACTCAATGTGAATTTACCCAAGCAGAAAGTCAGGGAGATGTTTCAAGTAAGATTTGTATCCACAATTAATTATACAAGCTGCCATAGATTTAGTGCATGACACACCATCAAAGTTACTTTTGTATGTTTACTAATCTAGTATCATTAATATATCCTAACAGGAAATGTTGCTTCTTCAATTGTGGCTGCATGGCTACAAAACATAATTCACATAAGCTACAACATGATTTAACCGGTGGCTTGAGTGGTGGCTCTACTTTAGACACACATGCCATGCTAACAGCTCTGTGAAGCTGCAGTTAGCAACAAAAGCAGGGCTGTGTGCTAAATACTCATGTCAACATGCTCACAACAGCAATGCTAACATTCTGACTCCATCTAAAGCATGTTAACTCATGTTTGCTAATTAGCACATAACTTAAAGTAGATACAGCTAATGGGAATGTCATTAATTTTGCAGATATTTAGTCATAAACCAATACTTTGGTCTATCACAAATTGAAGTTTAGACCTGATAGAG